CACTTTGAAATACTGAACTCTACCAGCCGGCGACTCTTCGTGACAATCTGTTCCGTGACTGCACGTGACACAACATACAGCCGTCAAAATGACAGTCACGGAATCAAGGTAGTAACGCAACGCAATTCTTGAAAGAGTAACATTTTCGATGCCGACAGTCAGTTTTGAAGAAGAAAAAATCAAACGTACTAGTATTCTGGTACTCACTTTTTATCGAAAAATAAGGACTTTAACAATGGTAATTCGCTAAGGATGGGGGAACAGGAAGATATTTCTTCTTCTTACTTCACGTCGAGGAAACTTGGCGCCGTTAAAGATGTTATTTTGGTCACGCTTCACTATATTTACCGGACTTCGATGCTTTTGTTTGGAGGCTGCCTTCAGGAACCCAAGCCAATTCTCAGGTATGTTTTAGATGAATGTCTAAATGTTTGAATAAACGAGGACTGGGAAAATTTGGAGCTATACCACAGGAAAAATAATTCCGCAGAAAACAACTACTAAATTAAAGTTTTTGTCACCGTAAAAAACTGTTCTTCGTTTTTGAATTATGTCAGTTCAACGAGTCTTGATATTGCTTTGAAAGTATCTTCTAGTGAAATAAGAAGAGTTGTTCTATTGATGGAAAGTGTCCAAATTCCTCCTTGCGCTTTTATTTGCGAACGCGAGGAGAGTTGATGTTAGCAAATTTCGGGTTTAAAATACGGCCATTTTAAGACTCCGACCACGAAAACTAATATTCTTACTTTTCTCGAAAATAAAAGGGTTTTTGCGAGAACAACTTACATCAGATTACTTAACTACCTAAAAACTATTTATGGACAAAAAATGAAGCAAATCGATTTTTCAACTCTTGCCACTCGATGGTCGATATTTCCTGACCGTCGCGCTTAAATATTTTGTGCCCTTGAAAACGAAGTGAAAATTTCCTTACATTTGTCCTGCAGTAGGGCAAAAGGAAGGAATTCTTACTTTAAGTTTCTATGTTTTGTTGGAGCTTCAAACAAACAAAAAAGAAAATAGTCAAAAAACATTTCAAATATGAGTTGCGCAGAAAATGATTTTCGAAAGTTCTTCGCACATAAATAAAGGTACTACAGGTCCGTTTTCCACTCGCTTAACGTATAACACATATGTTATACAACAACCATGCAATGCAAGGCAGAAACATTAATGTCATAAATTCTCATGCTGTTGAGAATTTGTAGTTAGATTTTCTGTGAATCAACGCCGGCTAGCGGTTAGAGTGGAGGGTAAACCACAGGTCTCCAGATTTAAAGTTACGTTAAGAAATCGGAAAATAAACGCCACATAATTAAAATGTCAAATAACCTAGGGCTATAGGGCTAATCGAAAACAATATTTTTAGAACCGCCATTTTACAGGGTCATCAAAGCTAAGCTGAGGTCTAGCTTTTGCAAAGAAAAAAGCATCAGCTTCTTTCATCAGGTATTTCAAGGCCTTCAGAATTTTTCAGTGGCCCTGGCCGGGTATGTAAACTCTATCCACGACCTCCCCGCACTGCCGCCTGGAGCTCGACAACTGAGCTAAAACCAAAAGCATCTTTTCCTTTTTTCGTCCTTATAAATAGTACACTGTTTCACATCATTTTTCCTTTACAACAATGTAGTGAGTTTCCTTGAGGTCCTATAGAGAAACCTGTATCCCACAACTAACGATACGGGCGGACGGTTTGAGATTTACAGTCAAACGACGATCCTGAAGAAAAAATTCTTGGGACAAATTTGTATTTGTGGGGCTTTTTTTAATTCACACATGCCCAACCCCTCACTTCACCCCTCAAACAACGTTGGACGTTTGTATTCACAAGGCTTCCAGAGATTTAACATTGTATAAGGTGGGCATGGAAAACTGCAAGCAATTCTCGAAAGTGATGCACTGTTTGACAAGGGCACACAGAAATTAAAGGAAACTATGAATAGTGCATTACTGTGCCAAAGACTATTGCCCAGATTGTAGGCCAAACGTACCCCCAATGTTACATTAATGAATTTTGAATTCGAAAGTTGAATCCGTTTGTCAGTGCCGCAACTAGTGTCAAATAAACCAATTTCGACATATCAAAATTCAGATTTGGCACCGTGGCGTATGGGAATATAACAGAACATGAGAATTATTCATTGGTGAGCCTCGAAAAGATTTCTTTTGCTTTATTTCCCCTAAGCCTCTGTGCCGAATCCGAATCCGAATCTCTGGTTTGAATATCTATTTAAGTCTGCATTCCTGCATGCATAACGAGCAATGAATTTTTAACGACAGCTTCTTTGTATTCTATCAGATTGAGATATCTTTGACTGGACAAATGGACAAAATAGCGTCAATGACATTTACATCAAATTCAGGAAAACTGAGCACGTAGCAATTTTATGACTATCTTGCCTGCTCGTTACGCGTTACGCATGCAGCAACGAAGAAATGATTCTGGATTCTACAACTATCCAAGGATTCAACTTTCGAATAACAACTTCATTAATGGAATCTTGGAGGATACGTTTGACCTGGCTTGACTGTAATTTTATCATGACTTTATTGTAACAAACCCCAACTTTGCTCAGGCTCCTTTAAAGCAACCTGCAGAAGAACCTTGAAATGATGATCGGATACATGCATATACAAATGTAAATGGCCCATCCGAGTATGCAGGCCGCTATGATCCGCACGCGATCAGCGCCCCGCGCGCACAACAAAGTTACAAACTCTCTCCTCGGACATTACGGCCCTCACTTTGCAAGAGTTAACAATTACAATAAAATACACCGTTGCAAGGTAAAGTAGCTACGCATTATCTCACCTGGTACGTGTCAAGGAAATTGATATAACAGTCTCTAAGGATGTTGCCCGTGATGTGAACACTGTTGACAATTCTGTTAGCGTCTGAGGTGGCAAGGTTTCGGATAGCGAGATACTGAGAAAAACAGTGTTTCGAGTTAGCAAAGAAAATTATTAACTGTAAGTATCATAAAAATTGAAAAAGTGGTCGGGAAGTCGTAATAATGGACAGGTTTAATGCAGTAATTTCATAGCTTCAATTGTGATTTATCATCAAACAGTTATTCAAATAAGGTATTTCTGGAACAAAAATAGTAATTTTAAACGGATTTCCGACAATGACATAAATCTCTAGTTTTAAAGATATTTCAAGAAAGTCACTTAATAAAAATCCGGTCTGAAGTGGTGTGTTGAGAAACTAGTGGATATTAGAACCAAAAAGTATGAGGGCCACTACCTAATTGGAGGTGCAATTGATGATGTTGTTGGTGGTGTTGACACCGGCATCGAGGTCGACACACTTGACATTTTAAAATATCTTCTTAATTACCTAGTGGACACGATCGTTGCGTTTGAGATTTCTGTCACTGTCTGAAGTTTATGTGTTGTTGTGGTCCTAATGCCTCCTTTTGTCTTTCAAAGCAATAAACGAAGCAGGAGCTTAGAGAACATTATAATTCCTACCTAGTAAAAATACTCCTTGTCGACACAGATGACGATGTGTCTGTTGATGTGAAATGTCAAGAATGTAGACTAGCGTCTCTCGCCATGGTTTTCACAGAAGTAAAAGGTGAACCTTAATTGTTTTTAAAGTTTGTCGTTAGGCTCATTCCATTCGCCGTGCTTATGAGCCGTGCCAAACTCAGTTGATCGAATTTGATTTTACCTCAACAGGACACCACATTTAAAACCAAGACGTTCAACTGCTCTGTAGCACGGCAAACCAGCACGCATTGCTGTCAACACGAGACTTGCAGGACTTGAAGCAGAGCCACACCAAGTATTAAATTAAAAAGGAAGTTGCATTGTTGATACAGAAATCAAAGTGGACACACTTGATAATGTCGACACAGAGGACAATACCGACAGTGAACTGGAACTGCACTAGCTAAAAGACAGGTGATCCTAAATTAAATGTCGAGTAAGGCTATTGTCCGATATTTTCAAACTCACATATAATCTACATTTCTCGATGTCATTGATTCTGGCGTAGTTGATACTGGGTGTAGGGGATCTTACTGTGGTTGTTTTGGTACAGTTGTAATTCAAGGCGCAACTTTTTGACTACCTGTCTTTTCCGTGTAGCTTTAAATACTCGCAAAACGAAGCACTGATGAAGAGAGAATTTTCTTTTTCTTGAACTATTAATTTGAATCAATAATTAGACACCCTAAATTAATTTGATATCGTTGATTGATAATTATACCTCCTAACCTTATTACTTATACTTAGTTTACTTTTGTCATTTAGGTATACTTAAATAACTCTGAATTTTGTTTGTAAATGGGTAGCCTGAATGTAATAAGCCCCACCTCTTTCTATCCGGGCTGCCCTGACACTTTTAGTGGTAATCTGATCAATCAATCAATGAAAAAATAAATAAACTCGAGAGAGTGGGCTAGGGATCAGGGTAAAATGAGCGCACTGTCGGTATCTTAAGCAGTGGAACAAGTTACCGGCGTAAATTAAGGACCTTTACCTTTACGTCTGACATTGATTGTGCTGGTATCAGGAGGTTTAAAAACCTTATTACCACTGTATTTTAAACTTATGACTGGTTTCAATGAAAAGCAAGACGATTAGGAGTTTTTTTTTTTTACAAATATAGATATCGTTTTGACAATTGAACACTTAGATATAAAATATTTATGATTAAACGATTATGGTTATCGATAGATTGATAGTGAGATTAAAAAGAAAAATTGTTACATTACCACATCATTATTTTTGACTTATCATAATTGATTATTGACAGTACTATTGTTACCTTACTACATATACATATTACCATATTAACACATAGTTCCCCACCTGGTAATAGGGAATGCAAAGGTTATAATCACTTCTGAGCTATACTTGTACGTAGGGTATGCGTTTGAGATTTCTGTCTCAGTTTGAAGTTTATGTGTTGTCCTGGTCTTAATGCCTCCTTTTGTCTTTAGACTCCCTTTACGAAGCAGAAACTTAGAGAAGGTTATAATTCTTACCTTGTCGAAATAGTCGTTGTCGACACAGATGACGATGTGGACGCCGAGCTTGATGTGGACACACTTGATGAAGTCGACACAGACGACGATGTTGATGCACTCGTTGTGGTTGGTGTCGAAACACTCGATGACGTCGATGCCGAGGAAGACGTGGACACACTTGATGACGTAGACAAAGAGCTTGAAGTGGACACACTTGATGATGTTGACACAGACGACGATGTTGAAACACTTGTTGTGGTTGGTGTCGAAACACTCGAGGACGTGGATATGGATGATGACGTGGACACCGTGCTTGAAGTGGATACACTTGATGATGTTGACACAGAAGATGATGTTGAAACACTCGTTGTTGTTGGTGTTGACACACTGGATGATGTTGATACGGAGGAGGACGTGGACGCCGAGCTTGAGGTGGAAACACTTATAGAGAAAAAAGACATTCAAGTCATATGTCTGTTGATGTGAAATGTCAAGAATGTAGACTAGCGTCTCTCGCCATGGTTTTCACAGAAGTAAAAGGTGAACCTTAATTGTTTTTAAAGTTTGTCGTTAGGCTCATTCCATTCGTCGTGCTTATGAGCCGTGCCAAACTCAGTTGATCGAATTTGATTTTACCTCAACAGGACACCACATTTAAAACCAAGACGTTCAACTGCTGTATAGCACGGCAAACCAGCACGCATTGCTGTCAACACGAGACTTGCAGGACTTGAAGCAGAGCCACACCAAGTATTAAATTAAAAAGGAAGTTGCATTGTTGATACAGAAATCAAAGTGGACACACTTGATAATGTCGACACAGAGGACAATACCGACAGTGAACTGGAACTGCACTAGCTAAAAGACAGGTGATCCTAAATTAAATATCGAGTAAGGCTATTGTCCGATATTTTCAAACTCACATATAATCTACATTTCTCGATGTCATTGATTCTGGCGTAATTGATACTGGGTGTAGGGGATCTTACTGTGGTTGCTTTGGTACAGTTGTAATTCAAGGCGCAACTTTTTGACTACCTGTCTTTTCCGTGTAGCTTTAAATACTCGCAAAACGAAGCACTGATGAAGAGAGAATTTTCTTTTTCTTGAACTATTAATTTAAATCAATAATTAGACACCCTAAATTAATTTGATATCGTTGATTGATAATTATACCTCCTAACCTTATTACTTATACTTAGTTTACTTTTGTCATTTAGGTATACTTAAATAACTCTGAATTTTGTTTGTAAATGGGTAGCCTGAATGTAATAAGCCCCACCTCTTTCTATCCGGGCTGCCCTGACACTTTTAGTGGTAATCTGATCAATCAATCAATGAAAAAATAAATAAACTCGAGAGAGTGGGCTAGGGATCAGGGTAAAATGAGCGCACTGTCGGTATCTTAAGCAGTGGAACAAGTTACCGGCGTAAATTAAGGACCTTTACCTTTACGTCTCACATTGATTGTGCAGGTATCAGGAGGTTTAAAAACCTTATTACCACTGTATTTTAAACTTATGACTGGTTTCAATGAAAAGCAAGACGATTAGGAGTTTTTTTTTTTTTTACAAATATAGATATCGTTTTGACAATTGAACATGTAGGTATAAAATATTTATGATTAAACGATTATGGTTATCGATAGATTGATAGTGAGAATAACAAGAAAAATTGTTACATTACCACATCATTATTTTTAACTTATCATAATTGATTATTAACAGTACTATTGTTACCTTACTACATACATATTACCATATTAACACATAGTTCCCCACCTGGTAATAGGGAATGCAAAAGTTATAATCCCTTATGAGCTATACTTGTACGTAGGGTATGCGTTTGAGATTTCTGTCTTAGTTTGAAGTTTATGTGTTGTCGTGGTCTTAATGCCTCCTTTTGTCTTTAGACTCCCTTTACGAAGCAGAAACTTAGCGAAGGTTATAATTTTTACCTTGTCGAAATACTCGTTGTCGACACAGATGACGATGTGACGCAGATGACGATGAAGGACGCCGATGTTGATGCACTCGTTGTGGTTGGTGTCGAAACATGACGTCGATGCCGATGAAGTCGACAAAGAGCTTGAAGTGGACAGACGACACAGACGACGATGTTGATGCACTCGTTGTGGTTGGTGTCGAAACACTCGATGACGTCGATGCCGAGGAAGACGTGGACACACTTGATGACGTAGACAAAGAGCTTGACGTGGACACACTTGATGATGTTGACACAGACGACGATGTTGAAACACTTGTTGTGGTTGGTGTCGAAACACTCGAGGACGTCGATATGGATGATGACGTAGACACCGTGCTTGAAGTGGATACACTTGATGATGTTGACACAGAAGATGATGTTGAAACACTCGTTGTTGTTGGTGTTGACACACTGGATGATGTTGATACGGAGGAGGACGTGGACACCGAGCTTGAGGTGGAAACACTTATAGAGAAAAAAGACATTCAAGTCATATGTCTGTTGATGTGAAATGTCAAGAATGTAGACTAGCGTCTCTCGCCATGGTTTTCATAGAAGTAAAAGGTGAACCTTAATTGTTTTTAAAGTTTGTCGTTAGGCTCATTCCATTCGTCGTGCTTATGAGCCGTGCCAAACTCAGTTGATCGAATTTGATTTTACCTCAACAGGACACCACATTTAAAACCAAGACGTTCAACTGCTGTATAGCACGGCAAACCAGCACGCATTGCTGTCAACACGAGACTTGCAGGACTTGAAGCAGAGCCACACCAAGTATTAAATTAAAAAGGAAGTTGCATTGTTGATACAGAAATCAAAGTGGACACACTTGATAATGTCGACACAGAGGACAATACCGACAGTGAACTGGAACTGCACTAGCTAAAAGACAGGTGATCCTAAATTAAATATCGAGTAAGGCTATTGTCCGATATTTTCAAACTCACATATAATCTACATTTCTCGATGTCATTGATTCTGGCGTAGTTGATACTGGGTGTAGGGGATCTTAACTGTGGTTGTTTTGGTACAGTTGTAATTCAAGGCGCAACTTTTTGACTACCTGTCTTTTCCGTGTAGCTTTAAATACTCGCAAAACGAAGCACTGGTGAAGAGAGAATTTTCTTTTTCTTGAACTATTAATTTAAATCAATAATTAGACACCCTAAATTAATTTGATATCGTTGATTGATAATTATACCTCCTAACCTTATTACTTATACTTAGTTTACTTTTGTCATTTAGGTATACTTAAATAACTCTGAATTTTGTTTGTAAATGGGTAGCCTGAATGTAATAAGCCCCACCTCTTTCTATCCGGGCTGCCCTGACACTTTTAGTGGTAATCTGATCAATCAATCAATGAAAAAATAAATAAAGTCGAGAGAGCGGGCTAGGGATCAGGGTAAAATGAGCGCACTGTCGGTATCTTAAGCAGTGGAACAGGTTACCGGCGTAAATTAAGGACCTTTACCTTTACGTCTGACATTGATTGTGCTGGTATCAGGAGGTTTAAAAACCTTATTACCACTGTATTTTAACCCATTCGCTCCTGGAGATTTTGCCGAAAAACGCGTTTTGAAGCTAGTCGAGTGGTTTTCTGGTCACTGTCGTGCTATAAAGAGCTAAACACTTGGCGGCCTTCTGATCCAGATGCAAAATATTTAAACTCGGGCATGCGCACTTTCGGGGTTTAAAAGTGACACAGCAGTCTTGACTTTTATTTTCGAAAAGCATTTTTTTTTTCTTGCTGGGCATTTAGTACTTAGATTAGGTGAAAAGGAAAGGTTTTTTTTTTTCATGGAGATTTTCAGGTCCTTGTCAAGTGGTTTTTGCTTCTTTCTCCGGTGTCCTTGACTGAAATGGTTTGAAAGATACCCTGATATCGTTTTGACGTCAATTGAACCTGGATCCGCACGGGCGGTTGCGGGCGGTTCAGATATAAAAAAAAACCTAAAATTTTTGATTTTTTCAAATTTTACATGATTATTTGGTTGTTTTATCGATAAAAAGATTGAAACTAGACTGGACGATTAAAAAAATTAAATATCGTTTTGACAATTGAACACAGATATAAAATTATTTTGATTAAACGATTATGGTTAATTGATTGATTAAATAACAAGTACTATTTATTTTTAACTTATCATAATTGATTATTAACAGTACATTGTTACCTTACTACATACATATTACCATATTAACACATAGTTCCCCACCTGGTAATAGGGAATGCAAAGGTTATAATCACTTCTGAGCTATACTTGTACGTAGGGTATGCGTTTGAGATTTCTGTCTCAGTTTGAAGTTTATGTGTTGTCCTGGTCTTAATGCCTCCTTTTGTCTTTAGACTCCCTTTACGAAGCAGAAACTTAGAGAAGGTTATAATTCTTACCTTGTCGAAATAGTCGTTGTCGACACAGATGACGATGTGGACGCCGACGCCGAGAAGTCGACACAGACGACGATTGATGCACTGGACACACTTGACGTCGATGCCGAGGAAGACGTGGACACACTTGACAAAGACGACGATGATGTGATGCGACGATGTTGATGCACTCGTTGTGGTTGGTGTCGAAACACTCGATGACGTCGATGCCGAGGAAGACGTGGACACACTTGATGACGTAGACAAAGAGCTTGAAGTGGACACACTTGATGAAGTCGACACAGACGACGATGTTGATGAACTCGTTGTGGTTGGTGTCGAAACACTCGATGACGTCGATGCCGAGGAAGACGTGGACACACTTGATGACGTAGACAAAGAGCTTGAAGTGGACACACTTGATGATGTTGACACAGACGACGATGTTGAAACACTTGTTGTGGTTGGTGTCGAAACACTCGAGGACGTCGATATGGATGATGACGTAGACACCGTCCTTGAAGTGGATACACTTGATGATGTTGACACAGAAGATGATGTTGAAACACTCGTTGTTGTTGGTGTTGACACACTGGATGATGTTGATACGGAGGAGGACGTGGACACCGAGCTTGAGGTGGAAACACTTATAGAGAAAAAAGACATTAAAGTCATATGTCTGTTGATTTGAAATGTCAAGAATGTAGACTAGCGTCTCTCGCCATGGTTTTCACAGAAGTAAAAGGTGAACCTTAATTGTTTTTAAAGTTTGTCGTTAGGCTCATTCCATTCGTCGTGCTTATGAGCCGTGCCAAACTCAGTTGATCGAATTTGATTTTACCTCAACAGGACACCACATTTAAAACCAAGACGTTCAACTGCTGTGTAGCACGGCAAACCAGCACGCATTGCTGTCAACACGAGACTTGCAGGACTTGAAGCAGAGCCACACCAAGTATTAAATTAAAAAGGAAGTTGCATTGTTGATACAGAAATCAAAGTGGACACACTTGATAATGTCGACACAGAGGACAATACCGACAGTGAACTGGAACTGCACTAGCTAAAAGACAGGTGATCCTAAATTAAATATCGAGTAAGGCTATTGTCCGATATTTTCAAACTCACATATAATCTACATTTCTCGATGTCATTGATTCTGGCGTAATTGATACTGGGTTTAGGAGATCTTACTGTGGTTGCTTTGGTACAGTTGTAATTCAAGGCGCAACTTTTTGACTACCTGTCTTTTCCGTGTAACTTTAAATACTCGCAAAACGAAGCACTGATGAAGAGAGAATTTTCTTTTTCTTGAACTATTAATTTGAATCAATAATTAGACACCCTAAATTAATTTGATATCGTTGATTGATAATTATACCTCCTAACCTTATTACTTATACTTTGTTTACTTTTGTCATTTAGGTATACTTAAATAACTCTGAATTTTGTTTGTAAATGGGTAGCCTGAATGTAATAAGCCCCACCTCTTTCTATCCGGGCTGCCCTGACACTTTTAGTGGTAATCTGATCAATCAATCAATGAAAAAATAAATAAAGTCGAGAGAGTGGGCTAGGGATCAGGGTAAAATGAGCGCACTGTCGGTATCTTAAGCAGTGGAACAAGTGACCGGAGTAAATTAAGGACCTTTACCTTTACGTCTGACATTGATTGTGCTGGTATCAGGAGGTTTAAAAACCTTATTACCACTGTATTTTAAACTTATGACTGGTTTCAATGAAAAGCAAGACGATTAGGAGTTTTTTTTGTTTTTACAAATATAGATATCGTTTTGACAATTGAACACTTAGATATAAAATATTTATGATTAAACGATTATGGGTATCTATAGATTGATAGTGAGATTAAAAAGATTAAATTGTTACATTACCACATCATTATTTTTAACTTATCATAATTGACTATTAACAGTACTATTGTTACCTTACTACATACATGTTACCATATTAACACATAGTTCCCCACCTGGTAATGGGGAATGCAAAGGTTATAATCACTTCTGAGCTCTACTTGTACGTAGGGTATGCGTTTGAGATTTCTGTCTCAGTTTGAAGTTTATGTGTTGTCGTGGTCTTAATGCCTCCTTTTGTCTTTAGACTCCCTTTACGAAGCAGAAAGTTAGCGAAGGTTATAATTCTTACCTTGTCGAAATACTCGTTGTCGACACAAATGACGATGTGGACGCCGAGCTTGATGTGGACACACTTGATGACGTCGACACAGACGACGATGTTGATGCACTCGTTGTGGTTGGTGTCGAAACACTCGATGACGTCGATGCCGAGGAAGACGTGGACACACTTGATGACGTAGACAAAGAGCTTGAAGTGGACACACTTGATGATGTTGACACAGACGACGATGTTGAAACACTTGTTGTGGTTGATGTCGAGACACTCGATGAAGTCGATGCCGAGGAAGACGTGGACACACTTGATGACGTAGACAAAGAGCTTGAAGTGGACACACTTGATGATGTTGACACAGACGACGATGTTGAAACACTTGTGATTGTTGTTGAGACACTTGATGATGTTGATATGGAGGAAGACGTGGATAGTGAGCTTGAAGTTGATAGAGAGCTGCAGTGAACGTATCAAAAGAGGGGCAAACTGTTATAATACCTATCCGTGTCATGTTTAACCCTTTAAGACCTTAGATCAATTTTCAAATTCTCATTTGTTTCCTCCTATTCATTTCCTACAGAAGTAGTGGGAGAATTTGATATAAAATATCAAGCAAATTCATAAAAGAGAAATTTGATGCTGATCACTCTTAAGGCTAAAAGGGTTAAAGGTCACGACGATATTTAAAGTATGTATTAAGCGACATTGAAGTCTACTGTATATTTCAGTTGCTCTAAAGACACACAAAAACCTTTTTTAAATACAACTGCAGATTCACAATCAGCCTTATATGCCACCTAAGTAAAGTCCTTCTGAAGGTGCTGCTAAATAGGCTGAAGCCTCAGACAGAATCAATCATCGCAGAAGAACAGGCAGGCTTCCGATCAGGTCGCAGTACGACAGAACAGATCTTCAATCTCAGGATACTGTGCGAGGGGTACCTCCATTATCAACAAGACCTCTACCACGTCTTTATCGATTTTAAAAAGGCGTTTGACGGAGCATGGCATAAAGCCCTTTGGTCTACTATGAGGCTTTATAGCATCAACGCTAACCTGATCCAAGTCATTGAAAACCTCTACAACAAGGCCACTAGTGCAGTCTACCTTAATGGTTACATAGGAGACTGGTTCAGAACCACAGTCGGAGTCAGACAAGGGTGTCTACTCTCACCAACTCTTTTCAACATTTTTCTGGAGAGAATTATGACTGACGCAGTAGAAGATCACCAAGGAACAGTTAGCATCGGAGGCAGAACAATTACCAACTTACGTTTTGCTTATGACATTTCCGCCTGGCAGGAAAAGAGGAGGAACTAGCCTCCCTGGTGGATCGCCTGGATAGGACCTCTGCAACCTTTGGCATGGAAATCAGTGCAGAGAAGACCAAACTGACGACCAATAACGCGAATGGTATCAGCATTGACATCAGAATCAACGGTGAGAAATTGGACGAAGTTGTTAGCTTCAAGTATCTGGGCGCAGTCGTCACAGATCAGAGTTCCAAGCCTGAAGTACTGTCCAGAATTGGACAGACAACAGCAGCACTAGCTAGGCTCAAGACCATCTGGAGTGATAAGCATATCTCTCTAAGCTCAAAGATCAGACTAATACGCTCCCTAGTTACCTCTGTACTATTGTACGCCTGCGAAACCTGGACATTGACAGCGGACATCCTGAAGAAATTGCAGGCCACTGAGATGAGATGCTTTCGGAAACTGCTTGGAATCTCATACAGAGATCACATCACTAACGATGGAGTCAGAGACAGAATCAGGCAAGCCATTGGACCCTATGATGATATCTTAACCACGGTTAAGAAACGCAAGTTAAAGTGGTTTGGGCATGTATCAAGATCATCAGGGCTTGTCTGTCGATTTTACAAGGAACAGTGCAAGGAGGGAGAAGAAGGGGGGAAAACAACATCGCTGAATGGACAGGGTTGAAGTTTTGCCACGCCGTAAGGGAAGCTGAAAACAAAATAAAATGGAGGGAGAGGGTTGCAACGTCCGTGGCGCCCCAACGGTCATTGACTACGGGATAGGTGCAGGTGAACAGATTCACAATAACTCTTTAGCTCGTGGCCGGGTACCTTGTCGTGGTTGGTGTCGAGGACGACGTTGATGATGAATTTGTTTACCTGTACGTTATTAGGGAGCTTAAGCAGCGACGTTTTTGAGCGACGCACGTCAACCGGAAGTGAGGTATTTTCCCTCTTAACATGCCTTGATGATATAAAATTTGTATTCCTTAGCTTCTTTACTATTATAGAGGCGATTTGACTGAAAATTTGCGCGAAACCACCGTCAAAAAATGAAAAAAGGCCACTTCCGGTTGACGTGCGTCGCTCAAAAACGTTGTTTGCTTAAGCTCCCTATTGTAAATTCGTTAGGAGGCGGCTTCCCACTAGAAGGCAATGTATATAACGAACATGACTGAGATTGGCACCGATCTTCTTCTCTTCACAGCTAAACGGCTGATTGAGGCATGCCTTTCATAATCTAGTTACTGGGTTTACTCTTCCTTTTCTGGATATCAGCTGGATATGTACACTACCAGGAAATAGAGGAAATTTGTAGATTAAACGCAAAAGCCCTTTTATCCCCAGATGAACGGCGGAACGAGAAAACCTCTGATCATCTAGTGAATGCATTTACGTTCTCTTTCTTGTTTCAATCCTAGTTACCTAGGCGCACAATTTTACGTTTAACAACGTCTTCAAGCGTACCACGAAGGCGGGAGCAGTTACTGAGATAACGAACGTCCTACCTCTCACCAGAGCACGATGGCCTCTACCTCTTACCACAGCTCTATGGCTTGTTGAGAAATGGCTTTCATCATCTAGTGAATGGATTTATTTTTCCTTGTCTCGATGGTAGTTTAATATAAACGCACAACTTTACGCTTACATAGGCCTTCTACAAGCAAGTAGCACCAATTACAAGGGTTTATTCACCAATTAGCATCATCCTCCTTCTAAGCACAGCTCTACGGCTTGTTGAGGAATGCCTGTCATCATCTACTCAATGGATTTATTTCACCTTATCTTTTTTATTTCACCTTGTTGTATATAAATGCACAGCTTACCATATACATTGGCCTCCTGGCATACCACCAAGTACAGAAAATGCCTTAGGGTAATTAACAATTATTCCTCGAGCCCGAATGGGCTCTGAGTCAATAGCCATGAGGCCGAAGGCCGAATGAGCTATTCACTCAGAGGTCATGAGGGCGAAAGGAATAATTGTTTTAGTAAAATCCAACTAGTTGGTCAACTTGGTATACACTAAAGCAGTGAGATAATTGAGCTCAAAAATGATGATTTTTAACTCATTTACTATTGGCAACGATAACAATTTTGCCGCGCAGTGACCGAACGGCCGCGGTTCTCGCTTTTTCTTGCCGACAAATAAAACTTTTGAAGGCATTTGTTTAGCTCTTGCGGGGAATTTCTTCAAAAGGAGTTGTGAATTCTTTTTGTATTTAAAATCGTTCTATAAAATTTAGTTTTAAGCTTATTTATAAACAAGTAAATTAACTAAAGCAACGCAAGAATTAAGCTTAATTTGCATTTGTAAACAAAAACCTTTTTCTCCGGTTTTATCGATAAATTCAAGTCAAAAAGACAAAGCTTTACCTGTTAAAACTTCCAAACCGAACTTCGTCACTTTCTTCGTGTATTTCGGGAACAGCTTGCTTGATTAGATGTGAAATTTCTTTGTTTGTTACGGCAGCAAACAGGGAAGGCATTTTGCTTGCAGCTTACACAAGTTTGGCGTCGCTCGCTCAGAGGAACTGGAGGTGAATCAGTGAATAGTGCAGGATATTCACTGATTAGTAGCCAATCAGAGCGCGCGAAAAACACTATCCACTGATTTAGTATATACTAAGCTGGATTACTATTAACCTTTCTCGTTTTAATTACCTTGATGTTAACGAACTCGTCGTGGACGGTGTAGATACACTCGATGACGAAGTGGAAAGCGAACTTGATGATACACTGAAGCAACAAAAAATTGTTGTTAATAGCACTGAATATTGGGCTGTTCAGTATTTCTTACAAGATGGTTCTAACTTTGTGTCGGTGGATGAAATCCTATGATGTGACCATTCGCATGAAACCGACTTAGCAGTACCTTCATGTAGTAGAAACATTGTGTACAGCTTAATAATCAGTAAATAATGAGTCTGCCGACGAAATCCTAAGTGTGATCATTACAATAAAAGCTACTGAACAGTGCTTTCCTGTGGTACTGTTTATTACGCTGTAAAAGATGTTTCTAAAGGTACGGTAAAACAGGAAAATTATCTTGCAACAGTGCTGCAAAACGAGTTGAATAGCGATGCTGCGTGTTTACTACCCACATCAAACCTGTCTTGCAACAAATAATGTTGTTGACAGGTTTGATGTGCGTGGTAGAACGCGCACAATCTCTTTTAAACTCGTTCTGCAGCAATAATGTGGAAGAAGTTGAACGTTTTTTTATGCCTGTTAACACACCTTAACTTTTGAGTCTGTGGATGAAATCCTAAAGTGTGACCATTCAAATGAAAGCTACTGAGCAGTACTTTCTTGTGGTACTGTTTATTATGCTGTACAAGGTAGTTCTAACTTTTGAGTCTCTGGATGAAATCTTAAAGTGTGACCATTCAAATGAAAGCTACTGAGCAGTACTTACCTGTGGTACTCTTTTATTGTGCTGTATAAGGTAGTTCTAACTTTTGAGTCTGTGGATGAAATCTTAAAGTGTGACCATTCAAATGAAAGCTACTGAGCAGTACTTTCCTGTGGTACTGTTTATTATGCTGTACAAAGTGGTTCTAACTTTTGAGTCTGTGGATGAAATCCTAAAGTGTGACCATTCAAATGAAACCTACTGAGAGGTACGTTCATAAGGTATACTGTACATGGTGGTTCTAATTTTGAGTCAGTGTATGAATTCCTATGGTGTTACCATTCAAATACAACCTCTTCAAAAGTACTTTCATTTGATAGAACTTGGTTTCAGTATTTAACAATTTTGTCGATTTTTATTTACTTAGGCTAGAGTTAAGATAAATAAACAGTACGTAATCATTACCTTGACGATGATGATATGCTTGACGTCGATGATATTGAAGATGTCGAAATTGAACTTGATGTTGACACACTGATTATGAAAAAAATAGTACATTATTGCTATTTTGATTTGGATATTAGGCCTCAAATTCAACTGAAAAAAGGAAGAGCTTTAATAACTGAAAACAAAAGAACTACTATCTTTTTCGAGAAACAATCAGGTTGGAATACCACATATTTCTCGTGTATTTTAGCGGAGCTACACGCACGAGTGGAGTCCCATAGCTAAGAAAATTTGGTGATCTATGCGTCCGAGAAATTTTGGTTATCACGTGATCGTCTGTCCCTCTGTCAATACCAAAGGGAAACCAATGTGAAATGTCAAACGTTCTAGCTAGTGTGGGAGCCGACAACATGATTTGTACATCCATGTTGTGGTCGATTGACAGCTGTCAAAACAGGATATCCGCTGACCAGTATTACATGACCGTATTGCGGGCTTAGGTGTCGACTCATCGAGTCGACGTGTTTTCTGAAGTTCTCCGCCGACAAGTTACTAGTTTTCAATTGATCGCAGGTTCAACTTTAAGTGGACTTCTTTTTGTTTGAAGTAAAATTATAAATTTATTAACGGGAGCCTCGCCTTTCGCCTTGGCTTAATCCATATTTTACACTTTTTCGAATTTTCACAAAAAGGACTCATTAGCGTTCTAACCGCTCGGCGACGGTCGAGGGTTTAGAACGGGAGATGTCGAGTGAACTTGAACCTGAAAACATTAAAACACGCTCACCTAGTGGTGATTGACGTTGTTGAAGATGACGAAGATGATACACAAGGCCTGTTACATTCGTATGTCATATTGACACACTTAATTCCGTCGAAGTACTGTCCATCTGGGCAAGAGCAACCTTCTACAAAAGGCGCTAGGCAGCATCTGTTATCGGTCGAATTGCAAGTTGCGTTTTGCTCACAAGTTACCGGGATTGTGATGTTTGCCTTGTATCCAGCTTCGTTCTTGCAGGGTCGGCAACAAGGAAGTTCTGAACGAAAAAGGGTGACAAAAATTAAACAAAAAACTGTCACGTTCGTCATTAGCCTCTCCACTGCCAGAGAGAAAGATGTAGTCTGGTAAGATGGCTCTAATAAACGTTTGTGTCCAAAAACAAAATCCTTTAGTGTGATCGTTCAAAAAAAAACCTCTTTAGCATACTTTCACACGGTACTATTCAACCTCGTTCCCAGGGTCCTTTCCTACTCGGGCCGAGTAGGAGAGGACCCTGGGAACGAGGTTAAGTACTATTTGTTTTTAAGGAATTTTAAAATATGACATTTGGAAATTTTGTTGAATTTGACTTTGGTCATATTTGGCAGTGATAGGTTATAAGAAGTAGAGTGACTAAGTACTGAAAGCACTCTCCTTCTTCAAAGTGTCCAGGCCAACATCCGGGTACTCCAGTTTTCTCTTCTTCTTAGCAACGAACACCTACAAATTCCACCACGAACACGAGAACGACGAGTTCTTAAAAACACATGTGATTATTACAATCGTCTATGACCAGTAGAGTATCTGGATTTCTCTAAGTAGCGCGCGATCTCATTCGTTATCCGGCTATACCAAAGGGATTAATGACTCGAAATTGAACAAGCGAAAACGAGCAAGCAAGTGATAGCTGATTTCGCTGCAATGATTGAACAAAAATTCACCAATACAACTCCGTGGTAACAGGATCGCTGAATAGACCTTTGTCACGCGGCGGCCATTTTGTTTCAGGAGGTTTAAAAAGCTTTGTTTATGCACGGCTAGCCTCCTTGAGAGAACGAGGCGTGTATAAACAAAGCTTTTTAAATCTCCTGAGACAAAATGGCCGTCGCGACGGGACATGACATCTACAATGAAACTGCTTCCCGCGAAAAGTCTCCAAGTAGGCAACATGACTTGCAGAGATCCTCACGACGACTGTCTATTCTAAGACCAGTCATCAAACGTTGAGTGCCATTTGATAGCCTACATTTATAAGGCTTACCACAAAATCCCTCTTTTCGCCACAGAACAGCTATCCGCTGATTGGCGCATGCTTGAGCATAAGCGGCGACCGCTGAACAAAAGCATCCACAGTCACCTCCCTGGTTGCACGCACAAGCTTCATATATACAATTGTCAATGTATCTTTGGGGCGGTACGTATCTGTGGCACTCTTTAAATTCCTCCGCATCTCTGATCCTATAACAGCCTACAAAAGAAGTTCAGAATTGTAAGTAGTTATTTTACAAAGAGAAAATATGAATCGACAGATGTCAAGTCGTGGCATACGATAATGATGATGATGATGATGATAGCAAGCTACGAGCGCGAGGACGAAAACAACCAAAAATACTGACAAAAGATAGCTATTTTTTCAATAACTAAAAGAACGATACTAGCATACCGATCTATCTAGGTATGAGCGATGAAGAGAGCAATAGCGAGAGCAAGTTTTATTATCCAGAGGATGAACAACAGGCCAAAACTGAGCAAAAAGAGCCATATTACAGATAATAAATTAACTTCGCCCGTTCTGTCATTACAGGGAAATCTAAGACCTAGGCCTTGCTGTATTGGCCTTGCTATCGCTCGGTCAATAGGCCTTAGTCTGAGTTTTCGCTTTTATGACCTCACTCCCAGACAACAAGTGTAATATGATATGGTTATGATGGTGATGATGATGGAGATGGTGATGAAAATAGCAATAATAAAATCTCCACTCACCTTTCATTGCCCAGTTTTTTCTGTCTGGGTACTGCACACAAGGATCACGTTTGGTAGAGTTTTGACACGAGATAGAAGAGGAAACCAACCAGCTGCGCACAAACGCTTTAACATCACCCACTTGAGAACCATCTCTTTTGATGTAATATTTGCTGGTTTCGCCATCGAAGTTACCACACATGCCTGATAGTTTACCGGAGTTTTTGTAGTTGTTGTTGGGTGTGATATAGACTCTGTTGCCTCTGTCATATTTAACCTGGTTGAAATGATAGAGCAGTGTTTCAACAGGCCGTACTTCTACTATATGCCGAGTGGCCATTGAAAATCACGTGATACAATAATAATTTTCCCTTTGAAATACAAACGACAAGCGCTCACAAATTGAAGTGAAGGTGTCTGATGAGGACACTCGCCTGCCAACAATGTGGCTTGGGTTGAACCCAAGGGGTACAAGTAATTGCGAGTAGCAAATTCAAATGATATTTTTTCCGCTTCCCACTGCCACGGTAAATTTGGCGGGAAAATACGTCACTGCATGCATGGAACTTGACTCTTCTTCATATGAACCAAGTTAAAAATGCCGGCTTGAATTCCGAACCTATCGCGCCACTACTATTCGCTTGGTAAAAATGTCACTGTGTTCATATAAGGGAGCCAAGGAGGCACGTTAGTCTGGTTTTTCTCAGCAGCAAAGAAGATTTTACTTAACAAGAAAATTGATACTAAAGTCCCCTATTTTCAGTACTTCAGTATGTTGCAGTATTTTCGATTTTGTAACGTCAATTTTCTGCGCACCGAGAATCCTTTATCCTTGGTAATGGCAGGTCCCCAAATAAAGTCAAAGATACTTTTTGGCGGATAAACGTCATGCCTACGGCGCGATAAATCAAAATGGCAGCACGCTGGAAATGTAAGGGCAAAATAGTTAAGCAACAGAAAACGTTTTCCGTGTTTGCATAGCCTGATATAAACACGACAGGGGTTGGGAGAATTCGAGACAGTTATGCAAACCCGAGACAAAGTCGACCCCTCGAGTGTTATTATCAGGATATGCAAACACAGGAAAAAAGTTTTCTATTGCTTTTATAAAATAACTTTCCCGCTCTTGGTACGAGCATTGATTAAAAGAGAAATTCTTACTAGTCGCGAAGTCTTGTACACGAAGCTTGTACGCGTAATCAGTCTTTGTTTTGCAAAAAAGATACTTTCCAAAATACGGGTTTTTCTCGCTTAAAATGTCAGCTCAAGCGAAACACAGTATGTTTCTAAAGATTTTCCAAGTTTAAACCGACGAGTAATGGGTAAATAAAGTCAACTTGTCGAGTTTTTTAACTCAAAACCTTTTTCAAATTCGTGCTTGCGTGATTAGCGCGCGGAAAGCCAAACAAGTTGGCGTCACAACCATGCTTACATACTCTCATGCAAACACGCCTCTAGGCCAATCAGAGCGCGCGTACTATCTTAGTTATTTTATTAACAATAATCGCATCCTTTTTTACCTATTACAAATAAAATTGGAATTAAGAAGTCACAGATCAATTTAGGTTTCTGGGAAACTGACCACCGACCCCTCCCCTAAGTCAACATTACCACTTACTTCTCACTTAGGGCAAAATGTTGGCTTTGGGGAGGGGAAGGTGGGCAGTTTGCCAGAAACCTAAAATGTACTCACCGTGTACAAAGGCACAAATCGATCGGTTGGGTCAAAAACTCGAACGAATGTAAACAATCCCTCGCTGAAGATTTCCGTGTAGGGCAACGAACTGAAAACGCAAGGCTCTGGATAATCGCCGGGGCCTATCACGGCGGAATTGCCATCTACAGTGATTGTAATGTCTTTTTGCAAAAGTTCTACCTTTCCATACTCAGTGGTCACGACGACTTTCTTGCAAATGAGTAGCTCGATGGAGTCTTTACAGTCAACGTTGGATACCTTGACATTGTGTGATGTGTCTTTTATAATCATAAGAACCTCCTCACAGTCCTTAGGCCTGTGATCCCTGAAGAACTCCCCATCGAATGTTCTGTATTGATCTTGACCCGTAGCTGCGCATTCGGGATCAGGTAAACTTTGAATGTTCGGATCGGTCACCCATTGCCTTGAACCGTTGCATATCCTAGTAACATTCACAAAAACAGAAACAAAGTCGTATTAGATTAAGCACCGATAATTGTAGTGACATTGCGAATCAAAATGAACGTAGTGTGTCATTCATTTATTTGCCATTAACCAGAAATACAACAACAGTACACAGAAATACATTAAAGATAATATACAATATTCCAACTAAATTATTTACAAGATCAAATGTGGTAAAGGCAAGGAAGCCTGTATAGAAGCCGGGGGCTTATAAACTTAAGAAATGGCAAACGTGCAGCGTGCAACCATGGAGTTATAACCTGAGATCAGGCTCAATTTTCGTTTCGCTTCGTAATAACATTCCGGCGGGCAAGCCGAAACGAAAAGAGAATTTCAGCGGTAGCCGTTAGAGTGAATGTATGAGAACTGCTCAAATTGGGCCCGATCTCAGGTTAATGGAGTTATGGATGCACGCGGGAGGTTGCTAAGCACGAAAGAAGCGTAAGAATCGCCGAGTGTGACTCTAGCTTCTTGAGTGCTTAGCAAACCTCCCAAGTGCATCCATAACTCCATGGTTGCACAGCTGCAACGTTTACCATTTCTTTTATAACATAATCAAAAGATAAAAACTTTATTTTCCATTTGCCTTCGGTTGAGTCATCATTACGAGTTCATGTATGCTGTCATCTGCCCGCGCGTATACAAATCATGTTCTATGTTTTTCAAAAACTTGCCTTTGAGTTTTTCTTTCGCTCAATCAACCGTTCTCCGTCTTCAGGTAAATTGCAAAACGTTTTTTGTTGTTATTCTGAATGGCATCTGTCTACTTGCTCTTAATATTAGGGTAAAAACTTTGAGGGAATTGAAACTATAGCTGCAACTATAAACACCAACTAAAAAGACTCTAAAAGATAAGCTAAAACTAAATAAATGAAATAATTATCAAGCTTATTTATGTGACAATTTTTGAAATAAACGTAAAGTAGAAATGAGAAAATTTGACTGTAATTCCTTTAGAATAACAGGTAACACTAATTTTAAAAAGAAATTAACTAGCTTTGTATCGAAATCTGTCTGGGGAAATCCAGCTATAAATGTCAAAGTTGAAACTGAAATTCGCCGACACACAGTCGGCGCTGAAGCTGTTGTTTCTCGACCGTTCTCTGAACGACTGTTATGAATGAACACTGAGGAACAAAATAATACACACAGAAGTTATTTTTTGAAAAATTTATTTGAAAACCAAAATGTTTCTGTACTCAAATGAAATTCGCTTATTCCAGCGTAATGTGCCCGTTTAAACTCAACTAAAATTTTTAATCGATGCGATGAAAACTTCACAACAAAGCTGTCTCGAATTTGAGCTTGTTTCCTAAAATACTTGCTTGAATTTCGCATCAGCTTGACAAAAAAGTCAATAACACAATGCTAATTGATAAATTTACTTTTCAAACAGACTTTCTCTTCTATAAAAAACACACAAAATGTACTATAAATCTTCGCTCGCTCGATTATCCTTCAGCCGATTCTAACCGCGAGGAAAACAGTGACTAATTCACCGAGGGCAAATTTGTCGCTTGATCTTTTGTCTTTTATCCTTCAAAACGACAGCTTAGTATTTTCTTCAACTTCCACTTTTCATGAGTGCATGTCATCGGTGTATTTTACCGTCAGGAGAGGAGATTTGTTGAATTTGCCTAAATTTTACCGCGCTAGCTCAGTTTCTTGGCGTGCACCCACGGGCATAAGGTAGTGGCTAACTGACCAATCAGAGCGCGCAATTTACTTTTGTTATGTTATAATATAGGCTTCCTGGAACTATAGGGTAAACCATACAACTTAAGGGTACTGAATGAAAATTTGGATGTGATGAAATGCTATTCCCCGCCTCAGGAATTTTAGGGAGAAAGGGTACAAGTTATGGATGCAGTGATTTTGCTGCGACGAAAGCTTGTATCCATTCCCCTTATAGTTTCAGGAAAGGGGAATTGGTCCTCTGCGGGTGGCTAGTCACGTGGTACATAACCGCCATGCAAGAACTGCTCTGGGACAAAACCAACAAAGGAAACCGACAATTTAATGGACATGAGCTCTTTGCTTGTCTTGTCCTAGCGCATTTCTCGCATCCCAGTATGGCAGTTGTGTACCATGTGACTGACCACGTGGCTAACAAAACAATACTAAGGCTACCTTCACACGGCAAGGGAGGAATTTTCGACCGGTTAGAGCGATTTCCTAATTATCTTTAAAAATGGTTTCGGTAAGTGTTTATTTGTTTAATCAGCCAATGGATGAAAAGATCAAACATGGCCTCTTCGTTTTGCCGCCAAAGAAAACCCTAATATGGAGAAGGCATTGTTTAATTGGCCAATCGTGTTGCAGTATGACGTCAAAGCGAAGTATCGATTAATTTCAAGAAAGTTCTTCAGGCACGAAGTTTTTTCACTCGAGCATTCGCTTAACCAACCAGAAGCCACGCGCGTTTGTATCCGTTCGATAAACCCGTTCGTTTGTGTTTCTGTTTTGCTCGCGCGTTTTCATTTCAAGGCCATATGAAAACAGCTCTAACACTTTGTAAGTTGAAATGTGACGCGTGACCGTTCAAAGTTCCGTGTGAACAGAGCGAAAATCTTAAACGGTCCCGTGTAAACAAGACGTCCGATAAAATGTTTCAGCCGGTCGGAAAATTCGACCGGTTTTGTGTGAACGTAGGTTAAGATGCAGTGGTGGATCCAGGGGAGTGTCCGGGGGAGCCGCCCCCCCCTTATTTTCAGACCAAACTGAGACCCGAAGCGCTGAAAAAAAAAATTTTTGAGACCCCCCTCTCCCCCTTAATCTCAGGGTCCGGATGACCGTCCCCCCTTATCTGAAGGTCTGGATCCGCTACGGAGATCAATGCCAATGAGTGACAATAGGGAGCTTAAGCAGCAACGTTTTTGAGCGACGCACGTCAACCGGAAGTGAGGTATTTTCCCTCTTAACATGCCTTGATGATATAAAATTTGTATTCCTTAGCTTCTTTACTGTTATAGAGGCGATTTGACTGAAAATTTGCGCGAAACCACCGTCAAAAAAATAAAAAAGGCCACTTCCGGTTGACGTGCGTGGCTCAAAAACGTTGTTGCTTACGCTCCCTATTATCTGTGAGAGTAACTGTGATAGCGACAAAAGGAAGCTTAAGCAACGATGACGGCGAAGGCAACGAGAACGGCAAAAGGGCGATAGGTCAAGATTAGCAGAGCACATCTTTGCACGTGCAGCACGCTTTTTTGCCTTCGTTGCAGGACTATAACGTGCAACTTCCTAATTTCGCGTTTTATGTACTGTTCGCCTCGAGTTTTTAAACCTGATAATACACGGCTTCAAAATCTCTAATATAGATCAACTCATTCTTGCTCTAATATTTAGATTTGGGCTATTTTTGGTCTAAAAAATTGGACGTAAAGTTTAGCCATGTCTTTATCAGATATAAAGACACTCGTTAAACATTAATTTCTTTTGTTTTTTTTAATGAGATTTTGAGGGAGAACGAGAACCGAGACAACGATTTTCTAATTCATCGACTGAACTTAGATACATCCTCTAGAATAGCTCCAGAAAACTTCGCCACGATTTGGCAAATTGAGCGAGATGAAATAAGAGGGATAAAGTTTGAATTAGGGAGAATTAACTTTTTAAACCACGGTTTCGTCCCCTTCGCCCTCGTATGTGCTTAAGGTCCGCAGTGATAATGCCATGGAAGTGATAGGAGGAGAAAAAGTTATGGTGATATTTACAAGGTCAAGAGAATAAGAGTGGAAGAGAAAGTGATTGTGATACCTAGCGACATTGGCATTGACAAACTTAGTGAAAACGGTTACAACAATGATAGCAACAGTGTCAGTAACAGTGATTGTGATGTTCACAGTGACATTAAATTTAATACCGGCTTGCGATGATGACAGTGAAAGTGCCAATGATGGTAACATTGACGTGGAAATACCAAGGATGGTAACAGTAAAAGTGACAATAATGCAGTAACATTGACAAACATAGTGAAAATAATGGTAACAATGATAGCAACAGTGTCAGTAACAGTGATAGTGACATTAGTGACAGTTCATAGTGACATTAAATTTAATACCGGCTTACAATGATGACAGTGAAAGTGCCAATGATGGTAACGGTGAAAGTGACAATGATGCAGTGACACTGACAAACGTGGTGAAAATGATGGTAACGATGATAACAACAGTATCAGTGACAGTGATCGTGATGTTAATAGTGGCAGTGAAATTAATACCGATATGATAGTGATGATGACAGTTAAAGTGCCAATGATGGTGACATTGACATAGGCAACGCCAGTGACTGTGGTGGTGCCAATGACGGTTACAGTGAAAGTGTGACAATGATATAATGACATTTACAAACTTAGTGAAAATGGTGGTAACGATGAAATCAACAGTGTCAGTAACAAAGATAGTGATCTTAATAGTGACAGTGACATTAATACTGACAATAAAGATGACATTGAAAGTGGCAATAATAATTACATTGATAGCGACGGTATAGTTACAATGATTGTGACAATCGTTTAGTGACAATGAAAGAAAAATAAAAGGTATTGTTAGAGAAACTGATTGTTACAATGAACGTGGTTCTGAAAATAATGGTCATAAGTGACAGTGTTTAATGATGATAGCCACATTGATAGTAACAATAATGGTGACAATGATGGCGACAGTCATAGCAACAATGCAGCGAAAAATGCGTACGCGAATTGAAATTCCTAATCGCGGCCATTCCAAACAAGAATATTGGTATAATAGGGACCCTTAGACTCAAGGACGAGGAAAACTACGAGTACGAGATTTGACTCGAAGTTTCTTCGCATATTCTCAAACTATAAACTGCCAGGAAAGCGTCATTTTACCATTTTTCACTAGAAAAGTTAGCACAATTACCTTTAGTGAAGGAGGTTACACCCTCTCTCGATCGTAAAATGATAAAACTTCTAACATTTGATAACGTTTTTCCGCCACTTCGACATTCTCGCTAAAACTCGTAGCACAGTGACAACGGCTACCACGTTTTCCCGCCAAAACGACGCTGGCACACGCGCGTACACTATTCAGTACTGAGGAACTGAAATCTCGTACTCGTTTTTGTACTCGTCTTAGAGTCTAAAGGTCTAAAATGACCCTGGTGAAGCTCAATCTAAACGTTAAAGAGGGTTACGGTGGTGTCCACACAGCGTATTGAAAGGTGACAATTTAAGGCGAAATGAAATGAAGGCCACTATTAAAACTTAATGGGTCGGTTATTTAAACGAAGTCCTATTTACTGCGAACATGCGAACTTTAAAGTTCAAAAGCCGCCTTCACAATGCCGTCAATCATAATTACAATCACAAGCAATGATCCTTGAAACACGGAAACACACAAAACGGATCGAAATCTACCAATAACAATTCACAAACCACGACCTTTTGAACCCGTTAAAGTAAAGTTCTGTTTCCTAAGATGATTGACGACAGCTAAAAACACAAACGTCAGTTGGTTTTTGAACTTTAGCAAATTGAAAATGGCTTAGAACCAGTTTTGTTTATCACTGGTTAAAATACGTTTAAATAACTGGCCCAATGTTTAAAAATAACTTTTCCTGTTCTACTCACCTTGAACAAGACAAGGGATGTGTAGCACCCTTCTCGAAGTATTCAGTAACGTTATTGATTGAAACGATACAGCCGCACTGGTCTGCTTCCCCACACTGTAGTGTTTGTTCGTTCCAGTAAAGCCCATTCAGGCAATGACATCCGGCTGAGTATTGCGTTGGATCGTACTCTGTCAACCCCAGGCAAGTTTTGCCCTGTGGAAGCCATTTTGTTCCATCCGGGCACGCAGCTGAACGATCCATAAGAATGTTTATGTCAAGGTCTTTGTTCAGTAAGGTTAGAGGCAAAAAGAAGAGGTTAAGTGTTAGCAAGGGTTAGAATGTTACTCAGTCATGTCACCTGCCATGAGCTGTTGATCCCTTCCAATTGAAATCACACTCAGGCTTCTGAGGTATAACTCTCAAGTTGCCGTGTCAATGTGTCACACTAGACTTGCACACTACCTGCACCGGCTTACAGTACGGATCGAGCTATCATTGCTACTGGACAAAGTTTTCGAGATTGATTTGACATGTTTTCGACCACCTTTTTGATTACTTTGACGGGGTCTACTTGTGTAACGGAGCTGTGTCACGAAATTCAGCCAAATTAGGTAATTACAAAACGCCCGTTAAATTAAGAGAAACGTAAAAATAACCGCTTAAAACATTAAAGGAAGGTTAAAGAAACACAACAGATGCCACGTATGGGCAAAACTGAAGAAGATTTAAACGGATTGAAATTAAGGTTTTTGAAAACTGTTTAGCCTAACAGTTTTTCAAAGTTGCCACTTCAAAAATTATGCTCAGGAGACATATCTGTTTGTCTCGAATCTCTGCTTGTGTCATTTACATGTAATTTCTTTGCTTACTTTAAGTTCCATAGCGATTGAGGGCGAGTAACTGGCAAAATTAAACAAAATGAACTGGACTGCCGTGACACAGCCTCTTTAAAAGGCAGAGTCGTACTCACTTCCTAAACGTCCTGGATTTTGCTCAAATTTGTCAAATCATACTCCGTTACAAGAAATATTTTTCAACTCTCTTCTCAGTGATTGACGTTTGTTGAAACAATCCATCTTGTGTTTGATAAATTACATGGAAATAACGGGAGATCATCGCATTAGCGAGCCTAAGTGGTTTGCGAGCTCTCGAGATTAATATATCGACTTGAAGATATCTGAAGACATTTGTTGATCATAAATTCTCGAAAAATTTCTGAGTAAAAGTTTGCAGAGATTCATGTCAATTATTCATGATCCTAAATCCAAACCTGGCTCAATGTTTTTCGTTTTGATTCATTTTTTCTAATTTTCGAACTTCAATTATCTGATCATGCTAAAACCATCACCTTTATAAAATCAATGTTGCATTTTGTTTTAACTCAATTGATCAAAAGATCAATAAATCTGCTTGGTGAATAATTGCTTTCATTTCTATAAGAGATTAAAAAACAGACTCCTTGATTTCACAAACGTTCCCCAAAGATGCCAGTCTTAGTGTGACCTGCACTAGCAGCGAGAAGTACCATACATAGGTTTATAAGTGACATTCATCCTGGATCGGGTTAGAATTGGAAAAAAAAGTCATGTTATAGGTCAGCATATGTTCAATAATATTGACATTTCGTATGCTTTAAACACTAGAGAACTTTAGATTCGAGGACGACTACGAGTACGAGATTTTGTCAACATTAAGTAGTGCGCGCGCGTGAGCCAGCGTCATTTTGGCGCGAAAACGTGATAACCGTCGTCATTCTACAACGGGATTTAGCGAGAATGTTGTAGTGGCGGGAACAAGTAATCAAATATAACAAATTTTAACATTTTGCTATCGGGAAAGGGCTTAACCTCCTTCAGTATAATAAACGTGCAAACGAAAAAATGTAAAATGAAGCTTTCCGGGGTGTCTTTTTTTAGAGGACACGCGCAAAAACTTTAAGTTAAATCTCGTATTCGTACTCGTTCTCGTCCCCAAATCTAAAGCTCTCTATTACCTACTCCGCAGAGGCTCCCGCTAAGTATTTTGATGAAAATAGCAATAATTAAGAAAACTAGTTAGCACGCGGTGGACCATGGGTAGAAGGAAAAGGCGGGAGCGCTCTTCTCTTCTTCCCATCGTGCCCTGCGTGCTTTATATTTTCACTCTCCCCAGCCTCCCTACGACACAAAGAGGCCTTGGCGGAGGAGAGGCCTGTAAACAAGAATTAAGAAAGATGAGAAGAACAATCAGGCAGCAAGAATTGTTTCAAGTTGAGTTTGCTTCGGGGTAAGGCTATTGTAGCTTGCCGGCATTAAAAAGATAAAGCATTGTGGAATTCTTACAGAAACGAACAAACAAACAAACGTGGTGATAAAGGGGAGAAAAATGTCTAAAAAATGTGTTCATGCCTAAGAATGTATTGGAACCGGATCAAGTTAGGTTTCTGGGAAACTGCCGACCTACCCCTCCCCTAAGCCAACATTTTTCCTTAAGTGAGAAGAAAGTGTTAATGTTGGCTTAGGGGAGGGGTAGGTGGCAGTTTGCCAGAAACCTAAATTGTTCCTCAGAAACTTCCTTTCAAAATTTCTTGCAAACGTCCCCATTAGGTTCAAAGATTTTTCAATACCTCTGTAAAACCGTAGAAAAAAACTTTCAACTGGTATTATATTACCTTTTTTGACCATTTTTCACCCAGAAAATGTTTGAAAAAAAAAAAGACGAACAGATTAATCCGTTAATCGTTAGCCTGGGTTACGGTTATAAACAAATGCTAATAGTAACTGGACAATAAAATACTACTAGATAAAAAGATTCTCAATAAATTGTTTCTGAAATTCCTCCACTCAAACCCTCATCCTAGCTTCAGATTGTTAGGGAATTTTGGAAAATTTTTTATTTAAAACTACCCGTTTCAAACTTAGGAACCCTAAGCAAAGACGTTTTACAGCGGCGCAGATCAGCCGGATAGGGACTTTTTGCATTCATGAGTACTAGTTTTGCCCACATTTTCGAGCAAATCATCTCTATAATACACTTAGCAATACAAATCTGGCGGTACCAAGGGATATTAGAGGGGAAAAGGCCTCACTTCCGCTTAACGTGCGTCGCTCAAAAACGCCTTCGCCTTCGCCTTCACAATAAGTCCTGACGCAAACGTAGACTAACACTGCCAGAATCGATTTATAAACCTTATTACTACCAATTTATGCAGGACATCACCTTCAACGCATCTTAAGACTTTTGTCTCTGTGATTTTATAGGACAGACATTCGCATTGTTCTAAACGAGTGAACAACTAACTGGGTACAATATGCGACCACAAAGATTCTTGGATCGTTTGAAGAGACAGGATTCAGGTCAACAAAGACGGCGCACTACAAGTGCTGTATACCAAACTACAATAATACGGTTTTAAAAACGCAACTATTTTTTCACTTGTACAGAATTCCTCGAGACCCAGATCCACTAGGTATGTCTCCTCCAGTCAGAATAACCTTGAGTGCGTTTTTAACAGTTGGTTTACCGCTATCCGCCATGTTTGTGATGTCCCTTCAAACGATCCCCAGAACCTTTGCGGTGATAAGTCGCGCCAGTTCTCCGCTCGTTTAGAAACATGGTTTATCACCAGAGAAGGGAGCTACCAACCTTGGCAGGTGTCGTTTGCAACGCATACACTTCCTCTGAGTACCTCTCCAGGATCTGTACAATAGCAGCCCTCAATGCACCCACGCCTAATGGAACCAGAAGTTGACATGAGTGAGTATTCAACGATATTTGTAATTGTTGAATGTATCTAATTGTAATTTGTCTACCCGCAGAAGTACTTAGGAGTTCTTAAGAACTCGTTTAAACGTGTCCGTGCGTTGCAGATCGAATTAAAATTTGGCACTGTTTGTTGGTTTTTTGGGAGAGGGGAACACTGGAGTACCCGGAGAAAACGTTGTCAGAGTAAAGGAGAGAACCAAAAACAAACTCAACCCACATATGGCGTCCACGCCGGGATTTGAACCCGGGCCGACACCTGGGCCACATTGGTGGGAGGCGAGTGCTCTTACGCAGGAACAAACAAAAACAACAAACCGACAAGAATTTAAGAATTTAATTGGTTTAGCGAACGGACTCAAATGCTCGAGGCTTTTAGTTGGGTTAGCTTACAAGTAACTCATTCCTAACCGAAGAAAGACGGATGAGTGATTATTCTTGCCTGGGTGGTGTTAATTTAAGGTGGCTGAACACAGTTTTGGCAGTTTTTGATTATATGTCATTTGTCAAATCATGGCAAGGGAAAGGTTGCTGCTCACAAGCTGAAACTTGGCAAGTGAAAAGTGTACTGATAAAAGATTTTGATTGACAGGTAAAAATTGACGTTTTCGTAGTTTCCATGGCAACATGAACGATTGAATACAACCTTAAATTTTCACTTTTTCTCAGTTTACATAAAACTTGCTCATTAGATTTTCCTATTAACTTGCACACAGCTTACTATAATTAATCATCACCATTTGAAACTTATTTGACCAAATTTTAACAGACGGGTTTTTAGATAATCAATAATTTAATTGTACTGTAATTATTAAATGTGTCAAAAAATTCGTCTGTTCAACTTCCATTTTAAAGTTCTCATTACTTAAAATACAATGAAAGGAAAGATTCTGCCAAATATTACAAAATTCTAATGAGTAGATTTTGAGAAATCGTCTTCTGTGTACCATTGCTTTTTCGCCGCCATGTTTGTTTGTCTAATTTAAAACACGCGCCGTCACGCAAGTTACCGCTGACCATCCGCAAAACTGTGTTCAGCCACCTTAAGGAGGAATAGAGTGTTGATCAAACTTTAGAGATTACAGTATCAATGGAGCTAACTCATACAACCTTACGCACTAACTGGTCAGTAAAGAATAAGATGCTGGGGAACTACCACCCTCCCCTAACCCAACATTTTGCCTTAAGTGAGAAGTTTGTGTTAACGTTGGGACAGGGTAGGAGTACGAGGGAAGATTACTAGAATCTAATGCTGTTCCTTTTGTAGCGAGATCTGCCCAGCATCTCCTCCCTTTCTGTGTTGTTTTGCAGGACTTACTTGATACAGGGGACATTGTTGGTTACGTCGCCGCATGTCAGAGGACAGTCATCATCACAATTTTTGAATTCTTGATCAACACTTGGACAAGTTTCTATAATAAAATAGATATGATTACAATAATACTTTCCAAAAGATGACCTGTTGTTATTTCCGAAACCAATGACTGACTCCAGAGGGGGGGGGGGGGGGGCACTTGGGTATTTTTTGGGTGGGTATGTGCCGCCCGGGACTCCAAATTGGCACCCCGTTCTAAAAACAAATTCCCCTAATATTGATACCCCGTTCTAGAAATGGGCCAATTTTTTATATTCCTTTCAAGAAAGTTTGTAAATTGAAATAGCCCTGTTTTTTTAAAAAGATATTTCTTTATTTGTTCGACTTATACATCAAATAAATGCTCCTTCATAATCAGCAACAATTTTAAGCAGAAGATAAAGCCGTGATCCACAATTTTTTATACGCCGTTCTAGAAAACGCCTCTGAAATGGATACCCCGTTCTAAACCAGGAGCTTCAAAATCACGACCCCGTTGAGCGGCACATACCCGTATAGGTAATGTATCGGAGTACCCCCCTGGGGGACTGACTACCTCAAGTGTAGTTTTAGTTACAGTGGTGCTCTTTCATTAAACAATTTTACCCAGGGGGAGTACTGTCCCTATACTTTTTCAATAGAAGTAGTGGGGAGAATTTGTTGAAATATCAATTAGACTCATCTGCCCTGATCATGTACTCAATCCTCATGCCCATTCTGTTTTCTAAAACATTGATATTATAATGAGAAATTATCATGCTGATCACTCTTAGGGCTTAAAGGGTTAAGAAAAGTATTAATTGTTGGTATGCTAATCAGTGCGTCCACAAGGCAAACATGTAAAACAATTAGGGAGAATGTTATTAATTCTCTATTGTAAAATGATTTTTTTTTAACATCGTGTATAAATAAAGTTATCATTCGCCTTGTTGTTCAAGAATTGTTGAGTAATATAAGTACACCCCAACCCCCCACCGCCCCCCCACCGAAAAAAAACCCTACGGTTACTGATTTTCGTAGAGTTAAAGATGAGACCTCTAAAGCGGGACGTGCACATTCACGGTTTTGGATAAAACTGGGAAGATTTTTCGCCTGTGTTGCCCGTGACTAAAGAAACATCTTTCTCATTTCATCATCAAAAACATGTACATATGGCACTTACTGAATTACGGTCTGAACAGTCCGCGGGACGTTCGTCAATTAAACTAGATGAATGGCCTTAGTACCCACGAGTCCCTATAGTTAAGCGGAGGAGAATCCCGACAGGAAACCAGAGGGTCGTACGTTCGCCTCCCGTTAGAAGAACTAGGAGTCGTTTGTGTCACTAACTGAAGAAAAATCTTTTTAATTACTCCTAAATACTTAATAATTCTGGTACTCTTTATAACCCTTTCACTGCCAGAGTGTTTGATGGAGTTTTGTAAGGTGACTCTAACTTTTGAGTCCATAGACGAAATCCTATGATGTGACCATTCAAATGAAAGCCCTCTGCCTGTACTTACACATGGTACTATTTGTTTTTCAAAATGTTAGAAAATGAAATTTGCAAATGTGGTCGAAATTTGCCTTTGGCCACATTTGGCAGTGAAAGGGTTAAAGACAAAAACAATAATCACAGCACCATGGAACCTCTTTGAAATTTTTCTTCAGAAAAGTTCGTGAAAATATACTCACTTGGGGTGCACCCAAGTACAGTTCTCCAATGTGGGACAGTAATGCCTTTATCTCCACAAGCCTTGGCGAACCCAGCCGCTACGTCACAAAGGGAGTCTTGGTTCCTACACGCTGTTTTCATGGCCCTACTGAAGAACGGATAAGGATCTACTTGTTTTTTGGCCAGACAAGCACTGAAAGGTCCATTTGAGTCCAGGATATGATTGGCTCGAGTTTCTGAGGCACCTTTATTCTTAGAATAAATGGTACAGTAGTCCTTGGATAGGGTGGGTTCGACTTCTCCGAGTGCGGTCGAACCTGAGGCGCAACTTCCTACAGCCCAACTGCGCAGAAAGTTATCGGCGCTCTCCAGTGGGCCACCTTGAGGATCGGAGAAATCATCCGAGCTATCTTTGTTGTACTTGCCGCATAGACCGCAAGTTTTGTCCATTAAGTCTTCATTCGCAGTCAGGTAAAAGTTCTGCCCGGAGGAGATAAGTTCAAAAAATTCAGTGGACATGACCAAACTTCCTGTACTCCCACCGATCAACTCTAGCTGCATGATCTCATCGCCATACTCATACCCAATTAACGGTTGGCCGTACACAACGACATTAATATCCACGTTCATCGAAGAGATAGTTCTTTTAATTTCGACAACGCTACCACTAATTGTCACAATAAGGTTTTGTTTTTTGCAATTTTGGCTGTGCTCGTTTTGAACGCAGTCTTCATTTTGGACTTCAACCTTGAACTGAGAGGAAATAGATGAGCAGTCACGGAGGAGTATGTAGCCACATTCTTCTGGATATGCTTCGTATTGTGTGCCGTCAAAAGTCTCGAAATTTGTGAAAGCCAAAGCGGAACAGGTCGCTAAAGGAAAACAAACAAGGTAATTAGGTATTTAATAATATACATGAAAAAACTTCTTAAATCTGATTGGCTGAGAACACCTTAAGGTATGTATTCCACTGGGAAAAGAAGGACGGAGGGAATTTTTTTTTCACCCTTACTTTTTTCAAAGAAAGCAACAAGCAATAACCACAACAACAATAACAACAACAAAAGTACAAAGTCATCACAGTTCAACTTTTTAAGTACGCAATAGAGCAAAAAACGTTGATTGTACACTATTAAAAGTAACATCTAGTTATATACAGGTATACAACATTTTCATCTTGTTTTCATTCCATTTCATTCATTTTTCATTCCACTGGGAAATTTTAAGACGGACCGAGGGAAGTAGTACATGTATATTGGTACTTACGTTTGCAGGGCGTACTTAAGCAATTCCAAAATCCTCCATCACATTGGCTAAAGGGGAGAAAGAAAAGCGATCTAGTCAGTTCTTGAAAATGCTCGAGGTAAATTTTGTGGAATGAAGCGCGCGTTTACTTTTCTGTGCACTAGTAAGGCTAAAAAAGCAAGTTTGTGCGGTAGCCACTTGAGTTTCCCGACAATTGACAGAATTATGCTTTGATGCACAGGACGGCCAGGCTGCTCAGCATGGTCGAGAATGGTGGCTGGCGATGCTAAACTTTAAGATTCTTAGAAGACGAATACTGTAAGTTCTGACGGAATTTACAGGTTCCAAGAATGGTCAATATCATAAAATACTGTTGTGGTTTCAACGTGCCAGGAAAATATTGTCCTTGTCCCTCACCTGCATTTTTTTTCTGGCTGTATTAGGAAGGTTAGGGAGGGCGCTCTTACTCCAACCCTGTGCTTTAGGTAAGTTTCACAAGATAGAAGTTCAAAACGCGTATTATCAGATAATGAGTGGATGAAGGTCCAAACGGGCGTTTTTCAGTCATTTTTAGTGAAATTCCAAACGAATGCGGGCTACATATGTGCCACGCTTGCGTAATGGCAACCTGGAGATGAGGACTGCGGGCTCCTCTGGTCGTCCGCCGAGATGATGAGTTTAAAACAAAGGAATATAAAATTGAAACCATGGACAAAACTGAACCACAACATATACAGGTAGGGTCTTTGTCTCGGTCCTTACGGAGTTTGTCGTAAATTGAACCTATGCACTCACCAAAGTTGGCATTTTTCGTAGCGCATCGAACCGTGTGCATAATCTTGACCTCCATAAGTACAAGTGCAGTTAGAAGCTGCCACACACTGAGTGCCGTCCCACCACTGATTAGCTGGGCAGCTACAGCCGCTTACGCACTGGTTGCTGCACTCACTGTCTTTGTTTCTGCAGGTTCGTTGGCATGCAGGAGTACAGTCTTGGTATTCCATGTTAGAGTCGCATGATTTGGCTGAAAGAAGACGACATGTAAGTGGCCAATCTAACAGGCTGTGTCACGGCTGTGTAGATTACTTTGGTAAAAGTGCCCATTCCCTTCTCCACAAACCTGGGGGGAATGGGCACAAGCTCTCTTTGCAACGGTTTGTGAGGTCGTTTGGGCTCTCAAGCGTTACTTATGATTGGTTAATTGTTGCCTTTCTGAATTCTTAGTATTCATTTATTTGTTACACCTTAGGGAGTATATGTGCTTTCACGGCATGCATCACTGGCTAGCGGCATAAATTAGGGACGGGCAATTTAGTCTAGTCAGCGAGTCAAGAGTCGAGTGCACATTTGTTCTTCGGTGGATTTCAAACTATTGTATTTTGCGATTATCCTGCTTTTCTATCACAGGGAAATTTCTGCTATCTTTCGCGTCTTCTTTCCGTTTGTTGTACTTTTGTAAAACTTAATTATTTAAATCTTTTGATTTTTCCCTAGTCAGACCGTTAGATGTTTTCATTCAATAAAAGATAACGAGTTTGAAGAACCCTCTCGATCTCACAGCTTTGAATACCATCGACCAATCATGACTAACGCTTGTACACCCAAACGATACCACAAATCACTACACCCAAAGCTTGTAGTCATTCCTCCTTGAGTTTCTGAATAGACCATTTTACAGTCGACGGCTTAGTATCCTAGCCTTGGAGTGAACGTGAGGCTGAGGTTGACATTTTTATGATACAATTCCTTTTCTTATGGAAATTTGCTTTGAAAATACTAGTTAGCACGAGAACAACATGACTTACACATTAAAGCTGGACACGGAAAGTTGTATCAAAACAACGTCAACTCCAGACTCGTTTCCACCTGTAGCTGCTGTAAAATTAGTCTCCTTCGCAGCCGTTATTAGGGTCGTCACTCGTCACGCAACATAGTGGGGAGTAGCGTTGCGTGACGAGTGACGACCCTAATAACGGCTGCGAAGGAGACTACTGTAAAATGGGCTATTGAGGAATTACGCGTTGTCTTAACTAGCTAGATAACATAAAGTTATTGACAAAATTAATTGTAAATGGCAGACCATAGAATTAGTCTAGCAAAGTTGTCTCCCCAGCATTAATCTAAGTATCACCTCGAGAAGTATCGCGTGATTGCAATGGGGGCAAAATAAAAAACAGATAGAAGGTCTCTTTACTTACCACATAGGCCAGGTCCTCTCCAATCCAGGGTAATACCATTCATAGAACACTGTTTGCTGTACTTCTCCAGTATTGCACACTCCGCTTCAGACGTTTGAACACGATCGGCGCAGACATCTTTCTTGCATAGCGCTTTAAAGACTTCTTTGTTCACGACACCCACACACGCCTGGAATTCGCTCCGATCAAGCACTGTACATTCATAATCGCAAGTCGGGTCAGATATTGGAGACACAGTACAGTCATCGCTGATGAAGCTTTCGGCGAAAGGCCCGACATGGGCCTGAACAGTCCCAGAAAAATCTGTAAATTCATCGTTCTTGTTGTCGTTAAAAGTTCCACAAAGCCCTTTTGTATATGACTTAAACTCATCCGATAGGTAAATGTCTGCTGATCGGCTTCCGTCCCAGTACACCACTGCTTGGGACACTCCCAAGGAAACTATGATGTACGGCAATGGTTTTGGAAACTAAAATACAAGAAGAGAGAATGAAAGGAAGTAATCAAATTGATGCTAGGCATGCCTGTTGTAAACTTTCATTGGAAGGTCTAACCGTTTGCAGACATCATTACGAATATAGTATTAGTTTCTCCTCAGTACCGTTTTGGTCCAATCGGGTTTGATCCGTCGGCCTTCCGCTCGGAAGACCGGTGCTTATCCAGTTGACCTAAACGAGCAACATACCCACTTCTAAACGAAACATACTCCTTATAAACACATGAAATAATAGCTTTTCTCCCTCTCTCACCTCTATAGAGACCTCTCCATCTGTGTACGGAAGGTTGTTGTCTGCTAGACCTGCGCCGTCAACCAACACAGAAAAAGTGCCATCTTCCGCTCGTTTGCCAAGAACGATTACCTTTCCACCAATAGTTAAGGACAATTTCTTTTGGCACATGGTTGTAGGGTCACAAAAGCCATCCGGCATGATTACCACTTCCAAGGGGTCCTTAATGTTTTCATTTGGGGCTACGTCAACCAGCACGTGACCGCACCCGCTGTAGTACGTGTACGTTTTATTGTCAAACGTGGTGAAGTGTGCGTTTCCAAACACAGAGCAAGTACCATAAGCTGGAAACAGATATTGTAACAGTTTAATTGAACGACAAAATGGCGCGAGCAGCAGGGATAATTTGACTAGTTGATCAAATTGCGCGAGGTAGCACCTCCAATTTAATTAGTTCATAAATTGGCGCGAAGTTGCACCGCAAATTTAATTGGTTTATAAAATGACGTGTAGCAACCCCGAAAATTTAACTGGTTGATAAATGTGACGCGAAGGAACACTACAAATCTGATTGGTTAATAAAATGGAGCGAAGAAGCGTTGCAAATCTGATTGGTTGATAAAGTGACACGAGCTGCACGGGAAATTTGATTGGTTGATAAAATGGCGCGAACTAACACTGCAAATCTAATTGGAGTAGAAATGGCGCGACTAATACGGCAAAACCAAAGCTGTCGCAATAATTATCATTTTTCTGCGATGATTGTAGTGACTTCGATCACTTGGCACTAACTGATAATCCGCTTTCGTGCGAGGCTATTCATCACGTTACATAGTTTCCTGGCTTTTCACAGTTTTTAAACAATCTAGATATTGTAATAATATCAATACAACTTACTTTCCATTCCAGGGATAACTGCTCTTTCATTTTGATCAACTGTTCTTTTTACTGCAAAAAAGGTAATGCGCTTTTACAATAATACACAGGGGTTTACTAAATCGTCACAGTCATAAAATGACCCTACTCAGTAGTATTCAACAACAAATAAATCTCTTGAGCGTTGCTATTCAAAAGTTTCAACCATCGGTTTTATTCTTTTCCACCTGTTGATCATTTGTCCCCACTGCTGCCTTCTTCTTTTCTTGCTTTGATAGTGAAATAATAATAATAATAATAATAATAATAATAATAATAATAATAATAATAATAATAATAATAATATTTATAGAGGGGGCCCAACTCGCCAAGGCGGTTTTCAGTGGGGCCCTCATGCATTAATCTAATTAATTATTGTTTCTAATTAATTAATGTTTCTTCACTGTTCTAAGTGGTCATTTTTATAAGTTACTCAAACAAGCGGCTGGTTCTATATGGCCTAATTTTGTGGTATAGCTCGTTTAAGGTGATGTTACAGAGGACGATGTTCACTACAGTCTTGTGGATTACTGTCCACGAGTGACAGAGCAGGGCTGTAATAGACCTATTTGGCTAACTCTATGTTGTATCCAATTCAAACCCTTTGGGAATAAAACGTTTTGTTTCAGGAATTTCCATATCATTTAAATGTGAATGCCACATTATAATGCAAATACAATACACAAACAATCTTATCCCCGGGAGATTTGAATTGGGTACAACATTAGTTAGCCGAATAGGTCTATTCTCCATATTTCACCTGCATATTTCCTCTTAGACCAGGTGGTGGGTATGTATTTTATACTATAGGAGTTGTCCTGGCAGAGGACTACTATTCAGCCCGTTAAGCCCTCAGCGTGACAAGTACCCATTTTCTCCTTAAAATCCCTTCTTAATCCTCAAAGCCCAATAGTATCCTCACACAAATTCTCCACACTGATATCCATACATTTCCCTCGAGAATTAGTTGAAAAAATTTGTTTTAATATCACACCATTTCCCCTCTAATAATCATTTTGTAAATTATCATAATTTTTTGTTTGATAATGTACTGATGTTGTTGGGAGAAACTTGATGTTGATCACTTACGGCACTTGACGAATTGGCCACAAGAACATGTACAAAGGCAATAATCGACATGCAAAAGGTGTTGACTGTTACACGGTCAAATTCTCCTTACCAATACCATAGAAAATATACGGACAACAGTGTAGAGAATATACCTACTGATAAACCTACTAAACTCACATTGGTAACGCGCCTGGCATTCTTCCTCACTGTCAAAGTTATTAACGTTGCCAAGACAACCTCCATAGTCGAACTGTAAACAAGAATGGCTGTCTTCACTGTAGTACCAGCGCTTTTCAAACTGGGCATCTTCTTCATTAGCGTCTGCCTCCCATATTTGGTTACACACCTCGGATGCTATACGAAAAAATTGTGAGCGTCAATCAGCATCATTATTCATTAAAAATATAGAGAGGTGTGACGTCAAAAAACAACATTTGTAACATTATGGGATTGGTAATTCAGAAAGAACAAGATGAATACAGACTCCTTGCCAAAGACCAGCCCGTTAACGCAAGTTGGTAGGTAGATGTCAGAACCGGTTTGCTGTCTGATGACCCCATACAAATCCTTGTAAAATTGGCTTGGATCGCTTGCGTTTTTGATTGGCTTCCGCGGGTAATTCTTGAAACCAAACTGACGCTGACCAAATTAGCCTGTTCTAGGTGTTCAGATAGTGGAGCGACCTGGAACGGGCTCTGACCAAATTTGGAAGATGATTGGCTTAAAAATCAATGACGTCATTCCTCAGACCTCAATGATTGTATATTTAAAAATTATTCCACGAGTACGCGTTGGATACGAGATGGTAGGTAGCGAGCGAGGCGAGTAGCGCCTCGTTGGCTATAATCATCTCATTTCCAAAAAGCGCGAGTGGAATAATTGTTTTATTAAAAAACCCACAAAATATCGAGAATTCTTCTCCACTTTATTTGTAAAAACAACCGATTTTCAGCTTGTTTTTAATTTTGAGCATACGCGTACAGTTACCATATTTGGATATTTGGAGAGCAAGTTATAATGGCTCATATACCATGATGACTAAGCCAATCAGAGCTCTAGAATTGCATTATCCAATGATGCAGTTTTTAATAATACAGTTTATCCATGATTGACGTCAAGATCTGCATAATACAGTACCATACTCAGCCTTATTCAATAATATTATTAAGCATAAAACAATTCTATGACCTAGGCACGCATTAAAACGAAGTGAGCCTTACCCTGCAATCACAGTCGTCCCTGTTCTCAAAGAAACGACTGATCACAGATTAGGTCAAATGGAGCATCGTTTTGCAAGCGTAACTGTTAAAATGAGCAAAATTTTACTTACCACAGCTAACTAAACAATCTCTTTTTGTAAACGTCGAGTTGTAATTGTCGCAGCTTCTTCTGAGTTCGTCCAGATGAAGAAAACATTGGTCGCTGTAAACAGCAGAAAAGCCACGCTTTTGAAGTATACTCCCAAGAGCTTGCTCTAGATAGGCTTTATTTACCCCCTTGGATGGTCCTGGCACTGTAGATGTTGTCTGCGAACTTGCTTGCACTATCGTAATAAGAGAACAAACTCTGTAAATAGGGATAACCAACGACGGCTTACTCCCAAATACATCATTATATCACCCTTTCACTCCCAACCTGACTCCAAACAGAGGCTAATGTAAAAAATTCACATTCTCCAGTCTTCTTTTTGCAAACTCCAAATAGCGCTATTCTAAAGGTCTGCGAAAGAGGTTTCATTTGAATGGTAACACCATAGGATTTTGTTCAATCATCCCGCCATAAATTGGTCTAGAGCGCTTTTAAAGCTTTGCAAATGCATTTCAAATGGCACTGTAAATTGTTATCTTTTCACACGTCCTAAGGCAAATCTAGCTTGAAACCGCATCTCACTGCAAGCATTTTCTTACTGTTCATTGCGCCGCACAGGGTGGTTCTAACTTTGCGTCTGTGGATGAAATCCTAAAGTGTGATCATTCAAATGAAAGCTACTGAGCAGTACTTTCCTGTGGTACTGTTTATTATGCTGTACAAGGCGGTTCTAACTTTTGCGTCTGTGGATGAAATCCTAAAGTGTGACCATTTAAATGAAAGCTACTGAGCAGTACTTTCCTGTGGTACTGTTTATTATGCTGTACAAGGCGGTTCTCACTTTTGAGTCTGTGGATGAAATCCTAAAGTGTGACCATTTAAATGAAAGCTACTGAGCAGTACTTTCCTGTGGTACTGTTTATTATGTTGTACAAGGTAATTCCAACTTTTGGGTTTGTGAATGAAACCCCCAGCGTGAGTCCATTCGTGATTAAAGCTTAAGTTAAGAATCTTCGTGTGGCGCAAAAGAATACAAAATGGTTCCTTAACATCCGGTATACGATTCCTTCTAGTGTGGCCAACCAGTTGAAAGCGCTTATCGTGTGGGCAATTATCCTATAGGGCAATTTGACTGATTTTCTTAACCTTAAAAATATAGTCTGGGTAGCTGTCGAGATTCTACGCGCGAGTGATATCGTTTAGGCTGTTGAGCCGCGAGCGCGAGTACGAACGTGGGCATCAAACTCGCAAGCGACTCGCGAGCGAGAGCGGTCTCGCGAGAGAAAGCGGTAGGGGCGCAAGCATATCTCTCGCATGAATTCCCGCTGCACAGATATAAACAAAAAGCGTAAGTCAGCGAAAAGATATTGAAGAAGAATACAGCATATCAGTTTTACAATTTTGTAACCGCTTTGAAAGAGAAAACTCTTAAAGCTCCCTTACTCTAAATTGGACGCACAACACATAAAAATTTCTTTGCCAAAATTGAAAGTGGACATGTTAGGCATAATTAGCTGATACAGGAAGAATTGTGTTTGGTACCAATTAACACTCCAAAAAAGTCCAATTCTTTATTTTCCTTTGTTAGTTATGTCGAGAAAAACTGAAAACATCTCCTGAGAATTTTCGACGAATTAAAATGAGAGGACTATCACCTTTGCACCTGACTGAGTGGTCAAAGTGAGAAGGTCGGTAATGAGCCATTAAAAATGACTTCACGTGCACAGCGCGTGCACAGCGCCTGAAGTCGGTCAATCAGATTCACTGAACTTCAATTTGATGCCCTCTTTTCAACATTTTTATGTAAGCCAAAACAAACCAATAAGAGAAATAACGTACGTTTTCAAAAAAAAATAAAAATTTAACCCAGGGTTATGAGCTTAACAAAGGTAATAGTTGGGCAGCAAAAAAAAAACAAAAAACACACGCACAAAAAGTGCATTTTTGACAGGAGATCTCCCAAGGACTTGGTTACCATGTAAATATGACTTTTTCACGAACAATGTATATTTTTCGTATTTTTTCTCTTTACCACCTTGGTTTCAATACCCAGCGTAGAATATTGTTGAACAAAAATCAAAATTAAAAATTTTTTTCCTTGAATTAAAGCTCGATTGAAATGGGGCTTGTAGCTTTCTTTTTGATTCATAAACTGTGAATCAGTCAACAATATTTCAGGAAGTTACTGTCGGTCATTCACTTTCACACCTATTTTACAGTTAAATATATTTTATCAAATGTTTGAGGTTCGCGTAACTTTTCTATTCCAAGCTCACGGGAGTACTTTCCAGAGCCGGGGATCATCTGTTTTGTCGATACATTTAAAAGGATAAAAATCTTGTTTTAAGTCATTTGCACTTTTAATGTTTATCGTCTGAAAGAACGCTAGAAATGTTAGTTTACTTACAGCTTCGCAAAGATCTTTGCCTCTCTAGCTGTACCAGACTCTCGACTTCTGTTTCAAATGTTTGTTCCAAATTATATCTGAGAAAGAGACAGAAAAACAACGACAGTTAGTAGCGCTGATTAGGGCTATCATGTGGGTTTTACAGAAACCTTTAATTCACAAAATGAAACATTGGACATTCTTAACTTCTTAAAAAATCCCTAAATGATTTTCTTAAACTGGAGTTGCATTCGGGATTAGACATTAGTCACTCAAATTTCGGCTTATTTTACTGTGGGAAAAAAAGGTGGTGTAGGTTTTACGGATATGTCAAAATGTCTTGTACCGCGGAGCTATATAACAAGCAAAATGTTTTTTCACGGTCTCTATACCATAAATACCGCAGCATTTTCTCTTGATGAAAATGAATATATCTAACTCTTGCCAATGAGAAAAATGAAAAGTCCATACTCTTATGCAATAACAAAACATAGTAGGAAACGGAAAAGAGGGAAAATAGTAGACAAGCATCGTTTAAACATTTAACAAGAGAACACGTCTTCCTACAGCTGGCTAGAATTTGTTGGAATTTTTGAAGCAAAAACAACTAAATGCAATGGCACAAAATATTTTTTGAGGGAACTTGTGCTAGTCACGGAAACTTATGTAACAACGCAAAATATTTAAAATATTTTGGTGGATAATAATATAAGCCAGCGTTGTGAAGAGCGAAAACCTCTATCTAACGAAACCAGTTTTTCACTATTTTCTCCGGCAAAATCCTTTTTTAGTAAAAGGGTTTAAGAAGCAAGCCAACATGTTCACTTTTTGTAATTCCGCTCCACCCTAAATAATTAAGCAACCGAAACGATCTCTTGAACGTGACGAAAAAGTTCTGTAGAAGCCTTATGGATAAAGATTCAAAAAAAAATCTTTTTGATTTGCTTTCCTCAATATTTCCGAGTTACATCGTTCACGGAAAAAGTGCCTTTTTGTGACCAATTGACATATACGCCAACAGAGGTTCACGTTCTCACTGCATCTTGCCATTTGCACAAAACTGTGAACCTTTACTTTGAAAGTGTTGTTTGTTCGCGTTTGGGCTATGTTCGCTGTTTCGTTGTTTAAGCAAGCCACACTGAAGTCGGCCCAAACTATAAGTCCGCGGCATGTTAAATTTTTGATGCACTCGGTCACAGTTTGACGAGTAAAGGATTCGTACTTTTTGAGACAAGACAGTAATTCTATATAAACATCATTTCATAACCAAAAAGTTTCTCTGCCGTAAATGCCGCAAAATTTTTCTTTTGATAGAAAATGAATTGTGGGGTGGGGAGTGAAAGCTTCTTTGAAACACGCAAGATTTAAAATTCCCTAAATTGATTTCCGAGACCCTCCAAGCTATCGTTTCTGTCTTTGCTCACGCCCTCGTTTATGGTACTAGCCAGAAAACACAAACAGAAAAGGTGTTGAAAACCGAATATTTCTATTTCTATTATCTCTGTTGCTATTTTAGAATTTGTAGAAAATTTTCTGGGAAAGATTCTCTACTCTTGTCACTCAGAAAACATGAAAAAGAGTTGGATCATTATGCAATAACACAAGATGGTAAAATAAGCAGAACTACAGAGTTACGGTAGACAGTAGATAAGCGTTGTTAAAACTTCAGAAAAGAGAATATTTCTTTCTATTGTCGTCTTATGATTTGCAAAAAAAAAGTCGATGAAAAACTGTCAATTTTTGTAAGAAAAGGAAATCGCATAAACTTATGTCATCTTTTGCTTTGAGCAACACTGTAAACGAGCGATGGTTAAAGCCGAAATTCCATCAAACGAAAACCGTTTTTACACATAACGTCCAGTAATTTCATTTTAAGTAAACAGATTTAAGTCAAAATGTTTTCGTACGATATTATCTCCCCTTTATTAATCCATTTCTATCAGCAAAAATATGACAGGACAGACACATTTTTGCAGAAAAGTAAATAATTTTGTCAACGAGACGAACAGGCTTCATTTGTAGCCTAATGAAAAAGAGTTTACAGATCACGTCATTTTTACATTGCTGTTCTTAATATTTCCTGTTTCCTTTCATCTCAAAACGCCTATTTCATCCATTGCTTATGTTTGATCGTAGCGTTTAAATAACCGAGTAAAACTGCTCCGCTCTCAAATTTAACGCTTAACTGTATGATACAAAGTTAAACAAAAAGAGTAAATATTAATTAATGCCTCAGCATAAGGAATGCGGTAAAATTAAGGAATTATCTTCGGTCTTTTTGAATTAAGAAATTGTACAAGCGACAACGAAGAAATCGATCCAAGCTTAACAGGAATGATGAACATGTGTTCGACCTCTTGGCTTATAATTAAAAGTTAAGATCGTATTAATTATAAGAACGGTAGAATAGGTAGTGAGCCTTAATTTTCGATGGAGAGTTTTACAACAAATAAGAAACCTTCAACGCAAGGAAAGGCAAACGGATTTCTTCCTTACCCGAATGTGTAGTCCGTATTTATCCCTTGTAAAAGTGTCGAGAAGACCAAAAGTGTCGTTAAGGGCACGGGGCCTTTAAGCTTCACTCGCTTATACATTTGCCACTTTCCTTGTCTTCCGTTATACTTGAAGTGTTTCTCAAACTACGCCGAAAACGTTTCGAGATAGATATAATAAAAATAATTAGCCCCTTCTTCGGATGTAGTACAAGCCTTCGAACCCTACCTGTAGGATGGAAGGTGGCTAATGCCTTATGCGAGAAGGGAAAGTGCTAATATGGACAGGCATTCTTTTCCAAAACTTCAAATTCCTTAGCGATCTAACGTCAACAGACGCACCACTGGCGCTTGCTCGCATTTCCATTTTTCATTGAAC